CTAAATGAGGCTATAAGCAGATATGAATTGCATTACACACCAGGAATCGCTTTGCCAATCTTGTGGGCATCCTTCACCTCACCTAACTGTCTCAATTACATCAGAACATGTTACTCCCATGATTTTTTACAGGTCCATGAAAACCACAGACCTGTTGCTCAAAGCAACAGCCTTTTTCTGGTGTCCCAAGTTCAAGCAGTTCCCCTACAACAGTGGAGGAAAAAGTTAAACAAACTGAGGGGGTCTCTTAAGATAAAATAATAGTAAATAACCTGTAAACAATCATCTTTACCTTAGCTTAAAAGAGCAGTGCGGGCCTTAAAAAAACAAACAAACAAACACACAAACTCACATAGGTGGATGCAGCATCAGTCCAACTGTACATCTGACCCCTACCACCTGTAAGACTGAGAACTGAGTGATCAAAGACTGTTGATCACTCAGTTCTCGGTATTCAGTGAGCAGAGAAAGGTGACTGTCAATCGTCGGCTCTCTGCTCCTCCAGCGCTCACTGGAGGGTGCAGGAGCAACCGGTTAAAGGCTCTCAGAGGCATGCTAAGAGGCTGAGTCAGCTGTTAGTCCCGGCATTATTATCGGTATCCCTGCAGAGCCTGGGCTGGTTCTGTGACATCAGGCTAAAGACTGCTGTCGGCTGAATTTGGTTCACAAGAGTGCAGAACTATGTGCACTACTGTGACCCACAGGAGAAGTATGGCTAAAAGAGCTTTGGCCATACTTCTCCTTTAACTTCTGAGAAGGAACTGATTGAGCCTATAGGCACAGCAGAGGTTCCTATATGTTCCACAAAAAAGACTACTGAATAGTCTGTATATGGTCTAATAATACATGTAATCATTACCATGATTGTGATACTGTCTACAGAGCCAGACTTAAATATTGGGAGGCCCTGGGCATGGTTAGGTTCAGGGGGCCCCTTATACAAAGAGATGGTTTACATTCTCAATGACAGTTAAACATTTTTAAAATGCATAAAGCAACATCATTATGAGGTCATGCGTGCACACACACACACAGTCATAGCGCTCTATGTGTGGTCTGTCTGAGCCACTGAAATTTGCTTTTAAAAACAATACAATATACCAGTCATAAGTAAAAAAGTTTACCCACGCAGGCACGGGGAGAACATGCAAACTCCAGGCAAGTGGTGCCGTGGTTGGGGTTCGAACCAACGACCCTAGTGCTGCCAGGCAGAATTGCTATCCATATATATATATATATATATATATATATATATATATATATATATATATATATTTTTTTTTTTATATTGTTTTACTTTTTGTATAGAGGGAGCCCCATCTGTCAGGGGGGCCTGGGCAGTTGTTCCTTTTACCCCCTCATAAATCCGGCACTGACTGTCTGGTAGACTTTATGCTAGTGCAACCACAGATGTAAAGCCTTAAAGGGCAACTGTATCTTTATTTACAATGGGGGGGGGGGGCATACTCCACTAGACAGGTAAAGGCCACGATGAGTACACTTCACGCAAAGGAAAAAATGGAGTCACACTGCACCACTGGGCACGGTTGCACAGTGAAGATGGCTAGAACAGAATAGGATGTACAGTAGGTAAGGATTTTTTCCCAGGCAAGCTCCACTAAGTAAAGCCTTGTTCACAGGGCCGTACTACATCATACACTGTATGGGCTGCAGGTAGCCACATGGCGATGAACAGGCGTTCCGTGCATCCCCAAGCAGGCAGTCCCCATTGATGTCTACTGGAATGCAGCAGCTGCACGGACACAGCTGCTGCTACCAATTTGACATCTGTGCAGTTACGGGTGCATGACTCTGAATGCAGACAGCGTGCATGATAGCCAAGCAGATAGCATTTGTAGAATGAGAAGTATGCAATGGCAGCCTCCATGTTTTGCTCAAGAAAGGATCCCTTTAAATATCAGCCGTGGTGCGATACCTCTCTGAGGAGTCCTATCTGTACAAGGTACATGTAGGCGATACATTACAAGCCTCAAAAATGCCCAAGTGGCATATCCCTTTAACACATCCAAAGCCGTGGTCTCTCAGCACAATGGTATTTCTTTCATTACTTAGCCGCTCCGGTCATTAATTAGCTCCCAGGGAGGCTATTACAGATTTCATTGAGTCTGGCTGCATCTAATAACACAAAGTGCTTAGTCTTAAGATATCACATTGGATGTGATGCCTCAGGACTTTAGAGTCTCTTTGGGGGGGGGGGGCCTCAAGTAGCCAAACTAGTTAAAATGAGTCTTAAGTAGTAACATCCATGGTTGGGATTATATGGGGGAATAATGTTCTTAAAAGAAGGGTTCTTAAACGGGATTGGAAATAAAGATGGGCACCGTGACTGAATTCTCTGTAGTCTATCTTGCAGGCAGGCAGGACCTTCATCACAGCGACACTGTAATTAGCGTCATTACAAAACCCTCCGTAAAGCTGCAATTATATTGCTGCAGCATAGAGATACGCTTAAGTGTCAGTGAGGAGACTGTGGATGGGACAGAACACTGGGGTATAACAGCAAGACATAAAATGAGCTTTATAATTTAATCACAACATGTTGCTGATATCCAAGAAAGGGGGGTGTCCAAGCTATCTTTCTAATGATACTGAATTTACTGCAATGCAGATAGAGTTTCACACAGGGTTTGGACCGTGTAAGTAATAATTAGGAAAAAGTATGTTTTTTCATTTTAAGATACCATAGTTTATCTTAATATTAGGAAAGCACAGTAAAGCCTTCTTGGAACATAAGGGATTTATATTCCATCACCAATCCAAAATAGGGAGGTTGCTCCTCAATTCAAGATAGTGGATGAAGCCATGCTAATCATTCCCTAATGCTCCATGGTCAACTGAACATCAAAAACTGCTAGTAACTAGTAAAGGGGTGTCAACAGGGCCACATGCGGTCAAAGACAGCTATGAATGCGACCCAACACAAAATCATAAACTTACTTAAAAATGTAGATTTTTTTTTGGTAAAAAATGCATTTACACTTAGTGAACACATGCGACTGAATTAAAATTGGACAGTGTCTCTTTACTGGAATTTTATAATTTTATCTTCCCAAAGAAAAATCTCCCACTCTCCACAATCACCCCTTATTCATGTCATCGGTTTTTGGCAGTACCTATATTTGTGAGAAAATATTTTCAAGGATGAAGCACACAAAGGGTAAAATTAGAACCAGAATATCTGGTGAGCAAATATTGCACTAGTTTCATGTTGCCCTATTTTACGTTTAAATAAAAAAATATTACAAAAAATGAAGTTTGATTACTCAGAGAAGTACATTATCTATATTACTGATCGTTAACTTGTGATCTGCCTGACTTTTTCTGCTCATCAGATATCCTTATTGTTGGTGTATTTTATGTATGGCCCAAGGCCATTCCTATTCTTCCAATGTGGCCCAGGAAAATCAAAAGGTTGGACACCCCTGATTAAGTACAAGACACAGCCTAATATCATAGAGTAGACTGCCATTTATTTCAAATAGCAAACAACTATTTCAGGCTTATTGGCCTTCATCACTGCAGTGCATGGAAACAATGGAGTAAGACGTAGGGACCAATGAGTACATATAATCAGACAGGTTATGGTGAGGTGGGTCAAGAAGAACCAGAAGTCCTCTACTGAACTTGAAGAAGCAGTTTTATTTCAGCTTTGGGAGTGAAACTAAAACTAAAACTTTTAGTGTACATATCCATTTCATTGTATGTTAAAAAGTCAGCTTGCCCAAATTGATGTTTTAGTTAGAGATGGAAGTGGGAACCCCTAATAATGACCATAGCACCTGTGCCGACACCAGGAACTGAGAGCAGAGATCTCAGCTATAGAATCCCCTGGAGATAAAAGACGTTTTTAGGATGTTTACCCCTTCAGAATTAAAAAAAGTACTGAAATATCAGATTTGGGTGGACGGACCCTCTAAGTCAGGGCTTAAAATTTCAAGTGTACATGCATACACAGACACACACAAACACACACACATGTACACGTACACACACACACACACACACCCATAAAAAGTTGCAGTACTTCGTTGTTCACTCACAGATCCGGGTACTGCACTCTAGGGGGAGGCAGAGAGCACAGCACACATTCCTTGCTTTGCTTTCACTGCTCACAGCTATTAAGCAGTCTGACGGCTCCCAGTGCCAATGAAAGATCCGGCCTGAGCTCCGAGCCTGCTCAGCAAGACGACCCTGGGGGAAACACTTGCTCCCACCATAATTTCCACTCGCCACTGATGAGCAGGCGAGTGGAAATTTCAAGCCCTGCTCTAAGTCACATATGTCAAATATAAGGCCCGAAGGGCGAATCCAGTCAACTTCATGTGACTCTCGCAGCCTAACTGCAGCTGTGGCACCCCTCATCCCCGTCCCCACCTTGTTTCAGCTGAGAAAAGGAGAGAAATCCACCACCAGATCCTGCACTTCTCTGTGCAGCCACAGAGAGGCTCGTCTTTGCCAGCCCCCATCCCTGTCTCAGCAGTCGGCAGCAGAGAGGAGTACAAACTTCTCCAACAGATCCTGCACCTCTCTGTGCAACTCCAGCACCCCCTTGTCTCTGCCCCCCTCCCCATCTCAGCATTCAGCAGACTCAAGCAGCTGACTCTGGTCCTCCTCCAGACCCTGCACTTTCTGCTTCCCAACTTCTTCCCAGCAACAGCACAAGGTAAGGGGGGAGTGCACTGTGATGTAAAGTGGGGGACTCTTGACTTCTGATAGTGGGGGGCTCTTGACATCTGATGTAAGGGGGTAGGGTGCTCTGGATATTTAGTCTTTCAAAAACAACCGGCCCTTTCAGAGCAACCATAATGCTGATGTGGCCTGCGATTAAATCGAGTTTTACACCCCTGCTCTAATTGATTATTCAGAATGACTGGTTCAGTTTACAGCACACAAATATTTCTAAACATGTAATGGAAACCCAAGCAGCAGCAGCAGTCCCCTGTGTTGCAAAAGAGATGGTAACATTTTATTATCATTACCTGCTCACAGATGGCTCCAGTCATGGTCACAGGGAATGGACGGACATTTCCTCTTCCCAAATTCTCTCGCTTTCTTTGGTTGCTGAAAAGCTTTAGTTCTCTCTTCTCCTCCTCATCTAGAGAATTGCAGTAACGGACCTGTAATCACAGAGAGAGATTTGAGCTCTGGAACCATCTGCAATGACATGACTCATGCTGTTTGAGACATTGAAAATCAATGACAAAGACGCGTTATTAAATATTTAAAATCGTATTAAAAAATATTTGCTGCATTACTGTAGAAAAGTCATTACATAAAAGACTAAAGGGAAACAGTAAGAACAGGAATAACACCAGTGCAGCTTTTAGCTACTGCACAGGGGCTCCATAGAAGATGATACATCATTGGATGCCAGACATCAGGATGGAGGGCCCTTGACTTTTAGGCACCATTTACAGCATTGCAGATGGGATGGTGCGAGCACACATTTTCTGTGTGTTACATGTAGGCCAGACCATTCAATTTGAGGAATATGTAAGCCCAACATTTCACATGCCTAATGCTGTATGTATCCTGTTCTCTTTGTATTGCTTCCTTTGTGTGAAATCCCTGGTGTATCTGACAGTCCCTCTGCTTTCCCTTTAAAACTGACAACACTAGGCATAAGAGCAGAGCATGGTCAGCTTTACAACTATGCTGGGAACTCAGCCTGCCCTCCTAGAATGAACAGACTTGTCCTTACACATCCCTGTTGTACAGCCAATTACTGGGAAGTTCAGTGTGTTGCTGTTTCACCTCCCCCAGCTCTCTGAGCTCCTTATACAGCTGAGAACAGAGGGTATGTGATCACCTATAAAAAAAAAGGGCGAAACAGGTATTTATCATTTTTTTTATATCTATATCTATTTTAAACAGATTGGGTTGTTTTACAAGCTGAGGGTTTATATATACTTTGATGGGCTGCCCTGTATGTGAGAAACACAAAGACGTCCCTGGCCTTTCAGCAAAATCTCACTGCACCGAAACACATAGAGCTGAAGCACCATGAGTATTGCTGTCCCTGTTTGCTGATGCATGGGAGTGCCATTAAGAACTAATAGCACCATTAAATATCTGCAAAAATTGCAGTGCATTTCTGTACATTTGGTCAAAGCGCACAATTTTATGCGCACTCCTGACACACACAAAGTGTGAACCCTGCATTACTGCTGAGTATCAGGACCCTCTATAGAAGGAGCAGGTCCAGGTAATATCTGTGGAATGAGATATAGCCTATTACTGCAGTTGACATCAGAGGAAGTGATGTCAGAGATGCTGAAGGAGTATACGAGGAGTTAATTGTAAGATGCATAAAATGTATAATTACATTATTATAGCATTAAATGCACTTGTTTTGTGAACTAGGGATCACAGGAATGATTTGGGAAATTGATTTTGTAGCAAAATTACCAATTCACCCTGCTTTTTTGTAAAAAATAAAAACCCAAGTTAAATAAATTGCCTCTAATTAAGACTAACCTAGGTCCGGATGGCTGATGGTTACTGGAAAAAATCATAGCTGTTCTGATGACAGATCATACACACAGTGCTTCCAGCACTGCAAGGTGCTCAGTGATTGGACAGGGGGGAGATGGTGTCAGCCATGCACCCCTCCTCTCCCCTTGTCTAGTCTGTGAAAAGAATACAAGGCCTTTTGTGCATGAAGGAGGAGAGACATCAGGAAGGTCGAACAACAAGAGCCATTGACTGTCAAAGCCACATTTCTTAACCCCTGCAGTACTAGAATTATAGTGCTGTGTATATGATCCAGCATCACAACAGCTATGTTTTTGTAGTAGCTAGCAGCCATTTGAGTTCACCATTTAAATGGTTGCAAACCCTTACATATACCCACTTAAGTGACTAGCCTCAGGTGATACACAGAGATGAAAAAAATCCTCCTACATAAGTTATACCTGTTTATCTGCAGCCCTCTCTTCTCTTTGGGCATTCAAAGTGCACAGTTTAAACACCATTTCTTAGCTCCAGGAGGCAGGGGGCAGGGATCCAATGTCACACACTACCCAGTATTGAGCAAGCGAAATGTAATCGGATACCTGAGTGGAGGGAATGGACATTCCCCCCCTCCCCCCATACAGTCTCTTTATGAAACATGCACAGCTGAGGCTTCCAATTGCCTGTTGTGTGCTGGAGGGGAAACCATCTCCCGGGATTGCCTGGTGTCGGCATAAACTATCAGAAGTGACTCATGGAGGTAACAGAGGGAGAGCAGCCAAAATTCATACTAGATGCTAAGGATTGAGGCAAGTACAGACTATAGAGGGATATGCTTTGTTAATTTTTCATTTCAGAGGTTTACAACCACTTTAATGCCTTTTGCAAAATGTTGCTGAATATGTTCTACAAACATTTCTCATTAAAGTGTATGTAAAGTCAAAAACCTTATTTCTCCAGTGTTCACCACATACAAAGGGAGGATATGTTTTTTTTTTTTTTTTGCGAATGGATATTCCAGTCACCAGTCCCCACAAGAAGAAGCACCAAGTGGGGGGGTCACATGACAATGGTTTCAGGTAAATATTCTGGCTTTGGAGGCTTTTTTTAAAAAGAACACAGACAAATTATAGGTGTTGGTAGGACCCTTAGTTGTGCTGTAAGGTACTCTATGGCTTGCTATAAGCTATACTATGCTTGCTATGGCGTACTGCATGTTTCAGCATGCCATATCTATCAAACTGCCTAGGCTGAAGAGGCTAATGGATTTCTTTAACCGTAGGTAATGGTGGTTTTAAATGCCGGAACCAGATGACCACATTAAAATAAGGTCACGGACTATGCCGATAAGCAACATTAAAGCCACATACAAAGGGAGGATATGTTTTTTTTTTTGCGAATGGATATTCCAGTCACTAGTCCCCACAAGAAGAAGCACCAAGTGGGGGGTCACATGACAATGGTTTCAGGTAAATATTCTGGCTTTGGAGGCTTTTTTTAAAAAGAACACAGACAAATTATAGGTGTTGGTAGGACCCTTAGTTGTGCTGTAAGGTACTCTATGGCTTGCTATAAGCTATACTATGCTTGCTATGGCGTACTGCATGTTTCAGCATGCCATATCTATCAAACTGCCTAGGCTGAAGAGGCTAATGGATTTCTTCAACCGTAAGGAATGGTGGTTTTAAATGCCGGAACCAGATGACCACATTAAAATAAGGTCACGGACTATGCCGATAAGCAACATTAAAGACCCACTGAGTTTTGCATACAAACTAATTTCTTCCTTTACAATAATCTTTCTTGTTGCAGGGCAATGAGCCTAAAATAATATGGAGACAAATTTAAGTCAAGCTCGAGTCGAGACACCAGGAATTGAAAATTAAGCCGTTATAAGTCATTCTACCGATTTTCACTGCTGAGAAAATGTCTCTCCGTGATTCACGCTAACATCATCCAAATAAGAAACAGGGCTGGAATTGGCCATCCAGCTGTGCCTTTGCAATGTAATATTAAAACCGTCATTTGTTTTGCATGGTTTTCTTTACAAAATGGCAAGTGGTTTACCTTGAATGCACGCCGCGAAACGAGCACAAATGAGCTTTGAACCACAGTGATAAATCAATTTTTCCCTAACGTTTTCTGCAATTAGAAAAGTATTGTTTGAAACTAATCACTTTATAATAGGTAATATGTTGTTTCATGTGATTAAAATGAACCTCTGATGACAGAGATGGGGACGTACCTGGTTTTAAAGGTACAGATTCTGGGGCTGTCATCCTGCGCCTGGCTTCTCTATCTAGTGCAGGGGTAGACAACCTGCGGTTCTCTAGCTGTTGTGGAACTACATTTCCCATGAGGCATTGCAACATTACAAAACTGACAGTTAAAGCTATGACTTGCAGAGGCATGATGGAACTTGTAGTCCTGCAACAGCTGGAGAGCCGCAGGTTGCCTACCCCTGATCTAGTGGATCGCTCAGCGTGGAAGAAAGCATTCAGCCACTGGACATACATCACTCTTATACAGAGAAGTACCAGATATTTCTGGTGAACCAAGGATGGTGGTGGAAGAGCTCAGCGAAGTTAAAAGAGTATGTCAAGACAAAATGAAAGCCCTACTGCAAGGGCTAGCTGCTTTTTTATTCTAGGGGAGAGTAAAAGGAGATAACTTACTCATTCCTCCGCTTCCTGTGCAGATGGGGCTCCCCTCACTGCACTGTCCCCCTGTGGCATCATGTCCAATGCAGGTCTTTGGACACTGTATCAGTTTTGATGATGTCAGGACCTTAGACCGATGGAGCATGGGGGGGGGGGGGGGGTGAAGATGCTGCTGGTGACAGGGTCTCTTTAAAGTTGATGTGTGTTTCCCATGCAGGGCAAAAAAAAGGTGATTACATCATCAGTACATATTCTGTTCCCCTTCACTCTCTTGCAGCTCCATTCAGCTGCTGGGAACAGTGAAAAAAGCTCAGTACACTGATGATTGGAAATTGGTTGCAAAAGCACCCAGCACTGTAACCTGTCACGAAGGAGAGAGTCCTGTGTCATAATCTGGAGCTTACATGAGACTAAACTTTTTTGCTCCTATAAAACCAAATGGAAAAGAAGGGGAGCAAAAGGAAGGTATGTGTAGCCGGTGGGGCAGCCATTAAAGTAAATATTGTATGTTACTTGGCCATGCATGGGCAAGCATAGGTTCACTTTAAAGGATATCTACTGTAAACGCAAGAGCAAAATTGCAATATATTGCAGCTTACTAGATCTTAGATGTGGTAGCTACTTTCCTTTGCATTTTTCAGTTTAACTACATTTTCAGCAAGTACAGAAAATACTTACTACTCTTGCCAAAAATGTCCTTGTCACTTCCTCTGAGCTGAACATAAATGCCAAATCATTTTATCTTCTGTCCAAGCTATCATCTGTAAACTACTAATCTCCCCACCCCATATGTCATTAAGGTAAAGAAAGAATGACATATTTGAAGTCCAGCCTGCGTTACAACAATGGCTCCCTCCATACGTACAGTGGATTGAGTGTGGGGAATTAAC